TCAGGGTTCAGGGTTTATGGTTCAGGCTTCAGGGTTTAGGTTGGGTACTGCCCCCACCCAGTAACAGTCTAAAGTAGAGGTCCTATTAAGGGCTATATATAACCATATTAACATTCTTATCCAACTGTTTAGGATTTAGGGTTTGGGGTTTTGTGTTTGAGGTTTAGGGTTTGAGGTTTAGGGTTTAAGGTTTTCGAAAGCTCACAGGTTCAGGGTGTCGGGGTGTTACCCCGAAATGGGGAGTTACATGGGAAAAATGCGCAGTTTTTCGCTGGGATCATTTAGGGAGTTACATCTGGTAATGACAGGATTTCTCTTACGAAGCCCCTTACATTAGGACCCCATTAGAGTCATATGATGGTTATGAGGTCCTTACTATAAAGATTGGGGTAACTATCATCCCCTGATTCAAAACCATGTGGAAACTTCCCAGTACTGTCTTACTTCTACATTAAATGGCCTGTACACGATTATCTAAACTCAGGTTCCATTTGAATGTCCACTGTCTTTCCAAATTCATTCTTCCTCCCAAGAACCCTACTAGACAACAAGAAATAGAACCCTAACCCTACACTCTGAACCCTGACCACATAGAAGGTGTGTATTTCTCCAGAACAATCCCTACATAATTCTCAAGAAGGACCCCTATACTCCCTTGACATACATCTTAGCTCCCCAAGCGCCCCGTGCTGTGAGAAAGTCACAACCCTGCCCCAGCTTCAACCTAAACCCTAAACCCTAAGCCCTAAACCCGCAAGCACTAAACCCAAACCCTAAACTCGAAGCCCTAAACCCCACGCCCCAGCTTCAAATACGCACGAATGGCCTGGAAAGGGAGCTTTGCAGGATGCAAGCCGCGGTCATCCAGGCCTTCTTTGAGGTTCCAGGTCAAGGAATTAGGGCTTATAGTCCCCCTTAGATAGATAGAATATGGGGTATATGGGGATGTTATTAAAATATACCCAAGGCCATATTCTGTCTCTTAAGGGGGACTATAAGGTCAAGGATTTCAGGTTTAGGGGTCGCTTCCTGGGGACCCTTTGTAGTTTTTGGAGGGTAATATGTACAGTCCCTGAAGATGTAGGGCTTACATTAAGGCTGTGTACGGAACCCTAAGCCCTAAAACCCCAAAAACTCAACCCTAAACCCCTAAACCTTAACCCCCTAACCCCCTAAACCTTAAACCACAAACCAAGGCCTTTTACCGCAGAGCAAACATCAGCCAATTCCAGGGTGGACCGGTAAGGGCCTGTCTCCGACTGACGGTGTAAGATCGCTTCGGCCAGACGATGTGCCAGCAAGGGGGAGGCCCACTCCTCCCCATATTCCTGCTGTAGCCCCCTTAGACCTATAATAAACATACTTTTGAAAAAATCTTAGGGTTCTATTCGACTAGAATGAACATGAATCAACATAATTTCTCAGGAGATCTCAGCCTGGAGGACAAAGGCCAGCTCTGGTAAGGACACTTTCTGGAGCCAAAGGGCCGCAGACTTCCCATACTCTCGTCCTATGCGCCCATCAAGTGGCACAGCCTCCAAAAAGGAAAGGCCTCTAGCCTGGGCTGCTGTTAAGGAACTTAATTGAAGGTACTAAATTGGGAAACCCCATTAAGTTCTTACTATATATATATATATGCCCATTACTCTTTTCTTAACTTAAATTCCTTAACAGCAACCCAGTAGCTCGCTCATCTGCAGCAGTCATCTGAGGGCTCATGTCCAACAGAAGGCCTGCGACTCTTTCGCTGCCAACTAATGAGCTCAGGTTGGAGGCCCTCTCCTTGTAAAAGTCCAGGCGTTTGTCCAGCGCCGCCATGTGCGTTGCAAGCTCCTGTGCCCGTGGATCCACGTCCAAGGCGACCAAGCGCCCGTCGGCAGCTAAGCGACGCAGAATCTCTGTGGCATGCCCTCCCTGACCGAAGGATCCATCCACATACACAGCATGAGGCCCTCCAAACCTCAGCCCACATTACCCTAGGAAGAAAAAAAGGATCCTTTTCACAGAAGTATAAGGAACCCCACACCCCAAAAAGTATAAAGGATCCCTAACATTGATCCAGAAACTGCATCAGAGCCTCCACAGATTCGTGCAGCAAGAGTGGCTTTGAGCCCTCCAAGCCCAAGCTGGCCCCCGAGCGCCAGTCTGGAAGCGGCTCATAGCCCGTTTGCATGGTTTAGGGTGCTTGAAAGACATCCAGGGGCTGGCTGCAATCCTAATGCGGCTGCTACACTTCGGCTGGCGCCGTGCCCAAGCACTCGCTTAAGCATCCTGCTAAGTGGTCTGACAAATCAAAAATCATTTGCAAGGGATGATGCAGGGCTGGGTAACGATCTTGACTAGCTGTTTTACTTTATCGGAACAGCACGAAATGATGGGATAATGAATATACACCAGCCCCCTTATTCTCGGCCCTCCCTGAAAATAGCAAAAATAGGGCGAATTCCCAGTCTATTCGGACACTGTTTGGGGGAGGGGGTAGTGGGGGCGTGCAGTATAGAATCTTGTAATGCCATGCTGCTGTGCTTTCTGCAGGAGATTTGCGGTTTCCCGAAATAGTCCGGGGGACCCCTACATGTCCTAGCTGTGGAGGGATTTACAAAGCGATGACTGGGGTCCCCTTCAGGGATTTTGCAGGTATAATACAGGAGTTATAATGGGGATAGTCGAAGAAAATAACATGGAAACTACTGTAATCTATAATGGGTTATATAGAGATTATAGGGATTGAGAAACCTCCTTCTGTGAGCTCACACAGGGCGGCTGCAGTTGAAGGAGCAAGGTAGCAACCGTAGTTTGCCTTCGCAAGCGCATGGAGCCGTTTGAGTCCGAGCACTAATATTGAACCCTCATTTCCTACACAGACCTTTGGAGAACATCCCATTGGCGTTGCTGCCTGACTTCCAGCAGCACGTGCTGCGCGCCTCCTTGGTCAAAGGCATGATGTAGTCCTGGAAGACAGTGCCTTGACAGCAGCTGGCTGAGGGCGTTTAAGAGTTGCAGGCTGGCTTCATCAATAGGCTATGACAGCGCTCCATCATTTTTGTCAGAAGCATGGCATCACGATAAACATTTTCTTTATGGACACCGCTGAGGCTGGCTAACAGAGAAGGCACACCTAGATTTGGGATCGTTTTGCTTGTGTCTGTTATTGTCCGCTGACTGTACGCTTTGTTTTTGCTGTTAGGAATCTCTGGGTGCGTTAAAGTGCTTTGTCCCACATCAGGTTTTGGTGGCCTTGATTTCATGAAATTTCGCCGATCCGGCCCTTCTTGCATTTGGCTAACATAAGCTTACTGGTGGTTCGTAATCCTGGAAATTAAGGAATATAATCCCTATGCAATATAAAATTCCCTTATGGTGAGTAAGCCTGGGATGGGTTCTCCCCTTCTCTGGGAAGCCTAGAAGTGGAGCCAAAGGGCCGACGTACTCGGGGTTGACTTTGTAGGTCGTGTTCTCCCCGTCGCCCTGCCGGGTCGGCATGCCCATGCTTACTGTACGTATGTGTGGCTAGGGAGTGGAACATGGGATTTTCTTAAGAGAAGGGGGGCCAGGGACCAAGGGATTGGTATTAAAGGGGTACCATGAAATTGTCCGCATTCGGAAGTCTTCTAGGGATTATCTTCGGAAAACTCTCATCTGGGACTTTTCTTCGGGACTAATGATGGGATCCACTCCTCACGTCCCTAGTAACCACCACGCGATTAAGACCCTAAGCCCTAAACCTTACCAGCATTGATCTCAGCCGTACTCGTGCTATCATACTCCCTCCGACATCCACCTGAAACTGTCCAAAATCAGAGCCTACCTTTATGAAGACCATATTCATACTCTTGTATTTTTGTTCTCGCCCGGATAGTCTCTTTGGTCAAGATAGCAATAGTAAGCCATCACGCGAGGCAGATCTATCTCTAGGTTGGCCCCTAAAACCCATTGAAAAATATTAGTATATAGGGTCCCTTATTACAGCCATTAGGGAAAATGTTAAATATCCCAGGGGCCTACCCAGATCTTAAACCCTTTTGCAGCAGGCTTCCTGAGTCCGCCTGGAATGGGCCACTGACTGCAAGGCCGAGCTCTCAACTTTACCAAGTAATTTCGTGATACACTGCAAGCACCGAATAGCGCACCAGATGATGCAACTGAACTGAACATGTGTTCATACCCTGCACAACATGCTACACGGTAGTGGCTATCTTAAACCCTGAACGCAAAACCCTCAGGCCCCAACCACAGCTAGGCTTGAACAGCCGTGCGTGAGGGGTGTTAACTATTTGGGGAGTTAGGAAGGGTGCGTCCTGCAAAGGTACCCCGCTCACGAGCGGTTAAGGGTTTAGGCGGTTTAACTAGCCCAAATACCCAACACAAACTGTTTTAGGGTTTGGCGCTTAGGTAGGTTTAGGGATTTAGCCTTTCATCCCAAGTACATTTGAATCCTCCCCGCTTTGCACACGTTCTCCGACATCGCTTCTTTTACGAATACTCATCATGGATATTTCCGAGTTCGCGGTTACCCCATACAACCAACTCCTTCCCCCAGTCTAAGACTTCCCAAGCACTGGGCAAACCTGAATAGTTCCTGATCCTGCAATAAGGCCATGTTGGCTTGGGTACCTTCCCAATATATATATATATATACTACCCTAAACCCTAGACCTTAATATCAGCAGAACCAGGGGTCCGCCAGTATAACCCCTGCTCAGCAAACAAGGGGAGCCCGGATTTTCTGGATCTTCAACCCTATGGGCCCAACCCTAAACCTTGGGTACTGCCCCCCCTCAGTAACAGTTGGATACTATTTATAACATATATAGCCCTTAATAGGACCCCTAATATAGACTGTTACTGGGTGGGGCAGTACCCAACCTAAACCCTTATCCCAAAACTGAATTTTTGGAAGGCCTCTGCAGCCTGCCCTCCGATGTTTCTGGAGAAGGCCTTGGCCTGTGGCGCTTTGGATTTAAGATTTAGGGTTTAAGGTTTTAGGGGCTTAGAAGTTAGGATTTAAGGTTTCGGAGGGCTTAGGATTTAGGACTTAAGGGTTCAGGCGGTTTAAGCTGAGGATTGAAATTTACGGGTTCAGGTGGTTTTAGGCTCAGGATCTAGGCGTTCAGGGGGTTTTGGCTTAGGATTTGAGGTTTGCAAGTGAGCTATGGATGTGTAGGACTGTTTCTGAAAACTTCTTGAAGGTCCAGGGTGTCACAGCCTTGACGCAACACTGTCATCTTCTTCTCACCAAGCTGGCCATCCGAAGCACTAAAGCCTGAACCCTAAGCCCTACAGAGACGAGCCACAACCCTGGACTTGTGTTTGCAGAGCAGCTTGTGGATTGGAGTGGTTCTTTTTCAAAATCTCTGGTCCTTCCACGCGGGGCGCCCTGACTTACTGGGGATAAGTAGCGGATAAGGGAATGTAATCCTTATATCATCCATACATGATATATTCCCTTTATGCCTCTACTCACCAAAGGCAAGCTGAAAGACGGGCAAAACATTTTGGAAGTGCATTGGGGTGGCGCATGTTGCAAACTGCCCCGGTCGACGATGTTGTGCAGAGTCAAGGAACCCTTACCCCGATGAGTTACAGGGAGGGTGTGTAGCAAAAACTAACCCCAAACCTTACTCCCGACAACCCTAGGCCCTAAAACCCTAAGCCCTAAACCCCTAAAACCCAAAGGTCTTCACCCTAAACCCTAAACCTTAAAACCCTGAAACACCAAACTTACCTCAATGAGGGTCCGCCATCTGCTCCCGCGGCCTTTAAGATGACGCGCTGTACATTCCTCTTCTCCACTTCTGGCTTGGTGATGAAGTCTGTCAGGCCATCCTTAAAGTTCACACATGAAGGTTTTACCGTTGTTCAGGGTTTGGGGCATTACTTCACATGGGGGCATCATATGAGGATAATTCGGCTTATATTGGGATGATATGGGGGTAATGGAAAAGAAAATGGAAACTACTACAATGGGGTTGTATAGGGTTTGGGTTTAGGGTTTTAGCGTTTAGGATTCATCCCCCCTGCCCCCCAAGAATGCACACAAGCTGCCTTCATGTACGAGACTTTATGTTATGGTGTGACCAGGTTACTTTGGGGGTAGAGTGCTTCGCATGGGGGTGGGCGTATCTTGTAAACCCAACCCGAACTCTCAAACCAAGGTCTCCAAAACAAATGTGTCTTGCGACTGCCGTAACTCCCTCTTCAAGGGGTTAAGATTGCCAAGAACTGTGGACAACAAATCGCTTGACTCAATCAGCGTTCCTGAGCCCAAGCAATTTTTTGGCTTGGAAGCTTAGGGGGACTTAGTTAGTGGGCGGCATAGGATACTATATGGGTCATAGGAGATATATGTATACAAGCTGAGTTTCCTAACCCTTCAAGAAAACGCATCCAACATTTTGTCTAACGATCAAGACCGCCCTTGCACAAGGAATCTACACACATTACCGCGCCCGAAGCCCGAAACCACGCAGGGGCGCAACAAAAATCAGGATTCAAGAGATTGCCTCCTCTACCTTTAAGCTTTGAGTTTTTCCAAGCAGGGGCTGCCAGGGCCCTGCAAACTCTTAAAAAATCCACAATTTTTGGGGCAAGTACCGGAGAAGCTCTCAACCCAATGACAGTTGTCTGGCTCGGGCCGCCACCTCATCACGAGCCTCACCGCAATGTCTTGGTCCGTTCCTAAACCCTAAATGGTTGGTTAACTGGGTCTACCTGATACTAAACACCCCTCTAGCCTCGAACAAGCAGAAAGGCCCTGATATCCAGGATTCCTAACGAGGGGCCATATCATGTCGTTCATGTGGTTGACAACTGCCCACTTACATCCCCCCAAAGACTATATTCCATAATCCAAAGACTCAAAGCAAGGTGTCCTGAATTCGGGAAACCATGACTTAATGTGAGGAGGAGCCATTCCTGAAACCTCTGAGAAAGATAGGCCCCAGGATAAGCCCCACCATAGAACCCCAAAAAGGAAATCCTAATTTTTGGAGACCCGCCCTATCCCAAACAAAGCCTAAACCCTTAACCCCAACACCCTGAACCCTAAAACGCTAAATCGCAAGCGGCACGCCTGGATCATCTTCGTCGCCTTGTCGCGCTCGCTTCTGAACTTGGACTCGGCTACAAACCTGCCAAATTGCAGGCTTTCTGCATTCTGCAGGTTATGTTTAAGTACGGTCAGCCCTGACCAGATATGTTAAATGCCTTGCAACTACACGTGCATGCATGCATGCATGCGTGCATACATACATGCACAACAGCTACGCATGTATGCATGCCTGCTCGCGTTCCTGCTATCCCTTCCCCCGCCACCCACTCCCCCGCCCTCCCCAGGGTCCCCCTTGATTAGTCTTAAATGAACCTGACAACCTTGCTCAAGCGGAACCTTTGGAGGGGTGGGAGGAGGGTTTTGGTACGTGAGCCCCATGCTCGTGTAGCATCCTTTGACCTATGTCTTTGCCATGCTTGCACTCCAATGGCGGAAGGAAGTGTGGTCTTGACTTAGCTCGCTTTAGCCACTGCTGTCAATCTTGCAGTGCAAGTGTACTTGTCAGATGGTTGTTTCCCTAAATTACTGTTCCCAAAATGGGGGAAATTTATATAGGGCCCCGTATTATAATGGGAACCCAAATATAGGACCCCGCACTATCGGGAATTTCGACCAATCCCCAGATTTGTTCGGCACGAATCAGAAATGCATCCGAGTCCTCCTAGTCCTGGCAATGCTCCCAGCCGCTGCATATTCATTAAAAGGCTACTGCAGGTCATCACTACCTACTGGTGGTTAACAGGGAATAAAGGAATATAATATATGAGCTATAATCTATAGACTCCTAGTATCCCCCTTAGTAGCCCTTATAGTAGTCCCATATCTAATCCCCTATAATTTTAGCCCTCATTAAGGAGTTTAGACCATAGTTTATATGGGGATTATATTCCTTTTCCCTGCTAACCACCAGTAGGACTAGGGAATGACAAGGCTGGCCATAAAACATCAAGTCCCAGGCAGCCCGTAGTAGATTCTGGTCGAAATCGTCTGCAGGACATGCCTGGGAATGCAGTCTAACCTAGGTTGGCCCCTAAAACCCATTGAAAAATATTGGTATATGGTCTCCTATTAAAGCCATTAGGGAAAATAATAAATATCCCAGGGGCCTACCCTGTAACCCAATCCACTAAGCCCAACAAAACGCTGGGTCTTTTTTCAAAGAGATCCTCTGGCTCAAAACCCTAAAATGCATGGGTGTGGTGTTGTTAGTCTGGCGGGCATGATCACGCGAAAGCTGGGGTCCCGACACATCCTGCACAGCAGTTGACCCATAGTTTCCATCATCTCCTTCCTCACACCTGACTGAAAGCTGCAACTTCAGGGTTGTCAGAAAGGAGCCAAATGCTGCGTTTGCTACCGAACCAGACTGTATAGGAGCGAAGGAGGGCTCGCAGTGCACTCGGCAGTTGCTGATTTAGTACGGTTCGCGCGAACATTGGCAGCCTTGCGCACAGCAGCTAGCAACAAACCCTTAGCTCAGCTCGCTTTTTTCGTCACCTTAGCTGTCCTCGCCACGTCTGCGGGCAGCCGGTCCTTGGCCTACTTCACCGGGTGCCGCCTAACGCAGCAGCCATGTTCGCAAAGGGGCACCTGGCTGGCCAGCCTGGGTTCTTACCCAGCAAGTGCTCCTGGCGAGTGAAGTCATACTTGGTGTAGAGGTACGAGCGGAAGAGATTGATGTCCCCGAGCGGGGTGTGCGGGCTCTCGTTGGGCGGGAAGACCAGCTCCTTGGAATTGAAAGTGGCCTTACCATCAGTCCATAAGCCAGACCCTACAACGTTGCTCACATCCGGTGGGTACACAAACTCCTGCTTGGGGATAGTGACCCGTCCCATGGTGACCCACGGAGCTGACGTCTCGCTCCACTCTGCGTTTGCATCGTTCAGTGGATGGTCGTTGGGGTTGGTGGCCACCTGGATTTGGAACTCAAACTGCGTCACGCCCTCCTGCACCTGTCCCACCACCTGCTGGCGCATGGCCTCTTTGAAGCTCATCCTGCCCTCTGTTATGGAAGATGGGTACTTGACATCTGGCTGCAGTGACTTCAGGCGGAACTTCATGGCCCCGGGCTGGTCAGAGTCCCCGATGCGATACGGCGTCAGGGAATGGTAGGTTTTGGCCAAAGCCCCCGTGCTTGTGACAGTCTGCCCGTACTTTTCCTTGAGGACTTTGCTGTTTGCCTGAGTCTGCTTGAGAGACAACATCTTTCCCAGGTTGCCGATGTTGGAGCCGACAGCCCCTAATTTGCCAAAGAAGTTGTTGGCCTGAGTGTAATCATTCTTGGCCTTGACAACGCTGACAAACCCCTCCAGCTGCTTCGCCTGGGTTGCTGTTAAGGAGCTGAAATTCAGTGACCATAACGGGTATACATGGGGTTTGCCCAATATAGCAACCTAAGTTCTTAAATTAAACTCCTGAACAGCAACCCAGTTGCGTCAGCGATGGGAAAGCTCTGCAGCGTTTCCGTGAAGAGCAGGTTGGCCTCCTGGTTCTCCTCGTCTTTCCCAAGGGAAATCCTGGGTTGCTGTTTAAGGAGCTTCATTTAAGTTATGATATGAAGGGTATTTCTAGATGGTACGGCTTCCTTGTTATAGGAACTTAAGTTAAGTTCCCTAAACCCTAACCGCAATCCAGAATCTTCATGGCTATGCGGAGGAGGTCCAAATCTGCAGCGTTCGTGTGGGAGACGCGCAACGCTACTGGCCATGGTGAACAGCCCGCTGCTGGGCAAGTTGCGAAGAGGCCCTTTTCAGGGTAATTTAGACTAATTTCAATTCCCGATTTATTGCTATCTTGGTACAACTCCCTATAGAAACCACCATTTAGGGTGAGGTTGGGTGAGGTCGCATTAAAAATGCCCAGCCTTTTGGAAGGCTGCAGGCAGGAGCTGCAGCTGGTCTGCATCCATCTGCATGGTGGCTGCCATGAGGCCAATGGATTCGCCCTCGCCGATGGGTGTGCCCTGGTGATCATCGGTTTCTACGCCGCTCGGCAACGACTTCACCGCATTCTCGAAGGTTGTAATCCACCCCTGGCTTCCTGGCCAAGGCATTGCGCGCAAGCCGCTGGTTCGCAAGTATGCCTTTGCTTCTTGTGGCTGGTCAATGTGGTTGAGGTAGTCAAGACCATCCTCCAAAAAGCGGCGGGTGGGCATTGCAGGAGCATCATCGTCCTTGCGGAGGTCATTGACGGTGCTGCGCATGGCCAGGATGGCAGGCAAGGCCCCCCCAAAAAAGCATGCTACCGCGACCATCTGGCTGCTGCAGACAGGTGACATGAGGCACCAGCGAGAAGGAGTAGTTTAACAGATTTCACGTCAGGTTGCTCGAGTCTTGAGCTTTTAACAGGCTGCGGGCCGTTTGCAAGTTACACAGGCGCAGAGACTTGCGTCCTACTGCAATCCTGTGGTGCAACTCATCTTGGCTTGCGGCAGCGAGGGGATCATCTTTGTTCTGTATATCTCCAGCAGCTTCTTGTTCACTACCGCCTCACCCAGTCACGAGGACAACGGTCAGACAGTCTATTTTAGGTTAGTAGGGCTCAGCATGGCCTGAAAGAGTGGGCAGTGGGGACTATTTCAGTGAAGTGTGCGTGTGCGACTACAGAGATTCGTTCCTTCGCCAACCACCAGCAACAACCAGTAAGAAAATGGTCAGGGTCATGATAAGGATACTGAGAAATGTGACAGAAAGGACTGCAGCAAGCAAGCAACAAGAAAGGAAGCATCGATTTTTCGTGCAAGGGGTACTCCTTGGCTGATTATTTGAAGGAAGGGGTTCTTACTATTACAAAACACCGGAACAGAACACCCGAATTTCGGATCTTTAAGTTTGCCGGAAGCCACCTATAGCCAGCTACAACTTTGCTGACGGCTGCCTCTGGCGGAACGGGCGCCAGAACTGTTTCTTCTTCGTCGCTGCCTCCCAGAAGAGCAGCATACTTAGGCTCGAAATCTATCTCCACCGCTTTGTCTGCAATTTCTCTGCTAGCTCTACAATCATCATATTACTGTGAATATAGCTGCTTTGAGAACTCTTCTTCCAACGCTTCTTGCTGCTGCCTGCGCGCCATCACTGTTGCAGTTCACACCAACGGCTAGTCGTATCACCGTTTCGGGCCGCTAGGCACAACAAACAAAGCCCCCTTGAGTGGCGCCATGCTCTGAGAGTTAGCTGGGGTGTATTTCCTTTTGAATCGCCCGAGTAGGACTTTGCCTGAACTGTGAGCCGTTTATTCTTGTACGCCTGAACCCTCTCTCCCGCCAACCCTAAACCCTGAACATGCCCTGAGCCTGCTTTTTGTGGCCACGGGCTATGTCTCAGGCTGCCACATGTGTCCCTAAACCCCATATTTAGGGTAGTGTGCCCACCTATTAACAGCCTTTCAGTTCGTAATAGGGTTCATGTTAGGGGCCATATCTATCTACAATATGTTTATTATCTAACGGTCACTGGGCGGTGGCAGAACCTCGCCTACATTGTATGCCCGCTGTAATAACCCAATTGAAGCTGCAGTTCTAACCCAATCTAAGTCTCCTAAGAAGGTTAAAGGTGAGTTATAAACCCTAAACCCTAAACCCTATAGACACCAGCTATAAGTGAGCCATAAGGACCCTAACCCTATATACCCCCAAAGAAACACTATATAACCCCTTGCAAAGCCGCTGTACTTGGGTTATACCCTTTCCCCTACATACCCCTACATAAACCCTATAAAGCCCCTATGTTAACCGTTGTACGTACCTGGGTTATAGTTAACCTGAACCTCCAGGTACATTGCATGCCCAACTCAAACCCTAATCCCTCTAAACCCTAAATCCTAAATCCTAAACTCTACACCCTAAACCCTAAATCCTAAGCTCTAGACCCTAACCGTAATGAGGCTCCTCCTGAGGGTCTGGGAACGCTCAGTTCCCCTAAACCCTAAAACCCTAACCCTAAAACCCTAAACCCTAAAACCCCTTAAACCTTAAACCCCTCAAACCCTAAAACCTCAAACCCTAAAACTCCTAAAACCCTAAAATCCGCCTCTGGGACTGCTGGCCATCTGGCCAAGGCTAGGCCTCAGATTTTGAGTATTTGGGTATATAATGGGTTTATGATTTTTTTTTTTGTGTATATACTGGGTTTATATTCCTTTTTTTAAACAAAAATTGGGCATATAGTGGGTTTATATTGGGATGAATAGGGTTTGGTGGTTTGGGTCAAGGCTTTAGGGGTTACGGACAAGGAATGTGGGTTATCGTGATTGGGGGATTAGGGACAAGGTAGGTGTGGGGTTTAGGGATCGATAGCCTTAGTTTATACTGGGGTTAAATTTAGGTATCATGCAAAAGAAAATGGAAACTACTATAGTATAGGGTTTCCCAAGCTGAGGGGTACCTTTTGGGGTATGAAGGATTATAATATTTTCGGAGCTAAACCATGTAGGGATCCAGAGGGATATCTGGGGGATATAAAAGGATATCGGATTCCGGGTTTTAGGGTATGTAAGGGACTTAGGTTGAAGGATGAGGGTTTGGGGCTTAAGATTGTGGCGTCGGCATCATGCCCCCTTTCGCAGGTCCTTGGATAAGGATTTCCTCCTCAAGAGGATATGCGGCACATCAGCCTGAAACAGCTTGCTGAGGCTAATCAGTTGCTGAATTGCCCTCGTTCCAACTTCTCTAGTCTCCATGACCCCTGCAGCAAGCCCCATAGCCCCCTCCAAAATACGCTTGAGTACTACTCCAGCTACCATTGCAATGACTTGGACTAGGACTACTAGCGTTACACGCCTAGCTGCACCCTCCAAGTTTCCCTGGATCTTAGCTCCTCACTCAGGGAGCGGACTGAAGAAGGAAAACTCTGTCGGGTGCTCATACCTTCGCAGTCTGTATCACAGGGGAGTCATTTTAGACTGGGGGCTCCAGCTTAGGAGCTCGTCATGGAAATCCTAAAAATGGACAACTCATGCCGGAAAGCCCATCTTGAGAAAGAACCCATTCTACCAACTTTTATGGGCTGTGCTGTATGCAGCAGTGCCAATATCCTGGCGATAACTTTAATCGCATGTAACCTTGCGTGTGCAAGTGTAGGGAAAGGTCTTTGGAGACTACTAGAATTCCGAAAGAGCAGCTTAACAGACAGCGAGTTCCTGCCTCTTCACCTGCGAGTGAAGACACTCCGTTTGGTAGATGAACCTTGCTGCCATGGGGAACTGATTCACAAGACATGCATGCAGCACGGGGGACAGTCGGACAAACATTTAGATGTCAGTGGATTACAGTCACCTAGCAGCTTGCTGCAGAGGGTTGTGCAACGCGATAGCTGCATTGTCATCCAACACACCTACATTGTAACTTCCAAAGAAAATAGTGCCCCAAAAGCTCTATACCCAGCACATATGTAAAGACCTCATAGACTTGCTTGCGGTAAGTAGGAAATGGAGGGGTGGATCCCTACAGGGTGCCTACAGCATCTTCGAGAAATTTCCCAAACCCCTAAGCCCTAAGACCCTAAACCCCTAAATTTCCCGAACCCTAAACCCTAAGACCCTAACCCCTAAACCCCAAAATTTCCCAAACCCTAAACCGTAAGACCCTAACCCCTAAACCCCTAAATTTCCCAAACCCTGAGATTCCTGGCTCGTTATCAGAAGGTGGGATTCTTTCTCAAAGAGCTCGCAGCAGCAGTGAGCTTCAACGGTTGCAGGCCCTGGATCTTCTGGGGTTTAGGGTTTAGGGTTTAAGGTTTAGGGTTTAGGGTTTAAGGTTTAGGGTTTAGGGTTTACGGTTTAGAGTTTAGGGTCTTAGGGTTTAGGGTTTAGTGAATGCAGGATACCCCCCCCCCCCATGCCTTGGATACTGCCCCCACTCAGAGTGACAGTTGGATAATGATTATAATCTGGCTATAAATAGCCCTTAATAGGACCCCCCAATATAGACTGTTACTGGGTGGGGGAAGTACCCAACCTATGCTCTATGACTACAGCATTTTGGGGGATCCTAAGCGGTGCAAGGTTTCCTCCATCCACACACTCAAGCCTAAATACTGGTCTCCATTTAATATTGAATTTTCTTTTCCCTTCGATCCTATAATATCTTTTGTGGTGGGTATATAATTCCCCTATATATCCTTATATACGGTAGTAGCTATCTAATTTCTAGTTTTTTGGATTCTATAGTATTCGGGGTACGGTAATCTGCATATACAATCCCCCTAGTAACCCTATGTATTGTAGTTTCCATCTCATGTTCCATTCACTTCTCGATTATTGGGTAATAGGAGCCATATTTCAAACTCCTAGCATACCCCTTAAAAACCTCCCCTCGATATGCCCTATAATACTCCCCTATATAACCCTTTTTATGGAGTTTGGACCCTAAACCCTTAACCCTAGATAGTCCCCTATATAACCCCTTCTCTAAGGAGTCTAGGTTATAGTTCATATGGTAGTTTCCCAAAATAGGGGGACCCCAGTGTAGATTAACTCGTATTATGTGGACCCCTAAAAGGGCACCACTAATTTGAAGCTCTAAACCCTATATATTCCTATATAACCTCTATATAACCCCTATAACCCCTTTAGATGTACACCTTTAAGCCCTAAATTCTACACCCCCACTCTAATTTGGGGAAAGTACCATATATCGCTGCACCGGGCTTCAGGCCAATCGCCGAGACAGCCGTTGGAGCCCGAGGATTTGAGCTGATGGAGCTTAAACCTTGAGGATTTAAGGGTTTATTAGGATTTAAGGATTTAGGGGTTTGGGGTTTAAGGGTTTAAGTGTTCAGGCTTGAGGGTTGTAGGGTTTTGACGTATAAGGTTTAGGCGTTCAATGTGTAGCCTTTTTCTAAAGATCCTTCTGGAGGGTTACCGGTTTAGAGGGCATATTTAGGCTTGTGTAGGGTGATGCACAGCAGGGTTTCAGCTTTTGAAGGAGGCACCCTTTAAGCACTCTTCCTTTAAGATGGTTCCTACGCCAAAAGGGAACCTACCTTATTACCATCTTGGGGGCAGCTATTTGGCACAAATTATCATGCAGCTGGGCCTTTTGATATTACAGGATATGGTTGAGATTTTGTAGGAAAGCCGCAACTACAATATCGTGGGACTGTCGTAGGCTGCGGGCTGACGGCGCTTGAGCCTTTTCTCAGCACAAGTCACTAGTTCAACACAGCATACTGCAACTTGCTTAATTAATCTTTGCCGTCGGAAAAAAAACATTTAGAACCAGTGTGACAATTCCGTGAAACCTCAAACTTTAAATGTCAAGCGTCCGGGTGGATAGCCACG